GACACACCGATGGATCCAACTAAGAAGATAACAGCTATGATAGAGTCTGCACCAGTTGATAGGGGGAGATACCAAAGACTCGTAGGACGGCTTATCTACCTCTCTCACACAAGACCGGACATCGGCTTTCCAGTTAGTGTAGTAAGTCAGTTCATGCACAATCCTACAGAAGAACACATGGAAGCTGTGTATAGGATCTTGAGGTACTTAAAAATGACACCAGGAAAGGGTATACTATACAGGAAGACTGGAAATCAGGATATTGAGATCTACTCAGATGCAGACTGGGCAGGAGATGTAAAGGACAGAAGATCAACAACTGGTTATTGTGCCTATGTTTATGGGAATCTAGTCACATGGAGGAGCAAGAAACAACCAGTAGTCTCAAGGAGCAGCGCAGAAGCTGAGTTTAGAGCATTGACCCTTGGCATTGTGAAGGAATGTGGATAAGGAGACTACTACTCAAGGAATTGGGGATAACAAGTGAGAAACCGATCAAGCTTTTTTGTGACAATCAAGCAACTATATGCATCGCCAAGAATCCGGTACACCATGACAAGACTAAGCACATTGAGATTGATCGTCATTTTATCTCAGAGAAGATTAACAACTCAATAATACAATTGATCTATACCCCTACACAATCTCAAGTGGCAGATATACTCACGAAAGCTCTTCCAAGAACAAGCTTCGAAGGATTGAGTCACAAGCTGTGTTTGTTCAACATCTACAACTCAGCTTGAGGGGGAGTGTTGAGATTTCTGAATCAATTAGGGTAGATATCTAGGAATTATCCCTAATATCTTGTATATAACTTAGGAGGAGAATCCGGGATTCTACCGGATCTTTATTTTATCTTTCCTAGTTTAGTGGGTTTGTTTCCTTAGTTAGTTACAACCTAAGAATAGTCAAAGCTTTATTATTTGTATATATATGTGTACCGGCTGATTAAAGGAATAAGAATTGATATTCATTCTTTCTAAAAACCTTCAGTTTTTATAATTCAATTTAATGAATTCCATTTGCATGAAGAGACTTCAAAATATTCTGACATGTACGACTTTGTGATGAAGGTTTACCAATTACTGGGCGATGTCAAGCTAGAATTTGACAAGTCTCATCTTGATTATGCCAAGGAAACTTACAGCAGAGAGCTGGACTTGGATACTGCAACAGTAAGAGTTAGATATTCTGTGGGTGATGTAGAATTTACGAGAGAGCATTTCGCTTCGAATCCTGATCAAGTGATAGTGACAAAGATTTCCGCAAGCAAACCAAAGTCTCTTTCATTTACAGTGTTCCTAGACAGCAAAATGCATCACCATTCACAAGTAAATGGAAAAAACCGAATTGTGTTGGATGGGAGTTGTCCTGGTAGGAGGATCCGACCAAAAGCAAATGAAAATCCGAAGGGAGTTCAGTTTTCTGCGGTGCTTGATTTGCAGATTAGTGAGAGCAATGGGGTAGTACAAGTTTTGGAGGACAATAAATTGAGGGTTGAAGGTTCAGACTGTGCTGTTTTGCTTTTAGTGGCTGCGTCTTCATTTGACGGGCCATTTACAAATCCTTCAGATTCTAGGAAATATCCGGCTTCTGATTCTATTAACACAATAAATTCAATAAGCAAGTTGTCATATTCTGATCTTGTGGCTCATCATTTGAGCGACTATCAGAATCTTTTCCACCGAGTCTCGTTGCAACTTTCAGGAAGCTCCAAAGGCGTTTCGAGAAAAAGGGCATTAGAGATGAAGGAACTTTTGGTGTGGAAAGATGAGTCGGATTTTAACAAAAGCAATGCCGTTTCTGTTTCCACTGCAGAGAGGGTGAAGTCTTTTAAAACTGATGAAGATCCTTCCTTAGTGGAGCTTTTGTTCCAATACGGTCGTTATCTGCTTATAGCTTGTTCACGACCTGGTGCTCAGCCAGCAAACCTGCAGGGTATTTGGAACAAGGATGTTGAGCCTGCATGGGAGTACGTATTCATTTCCATCTCTCTTTCTGTGTCTAAAACATCTTACTGATGTGTAAAGATGTCTATAAAGAATTGAACTTTCTGGGAAGATATACTTGATTTTGAAATGTAAATTAGTTTAGCTATATGGTAACTAAATGTGTCTCATGACTAACTCCAACATATGTATTCGTAAACGGCTTAATTTGCATCAGCGTTCTATGCAGCATTTACAGATTTACTTATTCAGCTTTTTAACTTTCAGTTGTGCTCCTCACCTGAACATTAATCTTCAAATGAACTATTGGCCTTCCCTTCCTTGCAACCTTAAAGAATGCCAGGAGCCGTTGTTTGATTTTACAGCTTCTCTATCTGTAAATGGGAGTAAAACAGCAAAAGTAAGAACCTGCTCTTCCTCATTACAATTAAAGTTCTTTCCTTCTGCATTTACTCAATCAGGAAAGTGTCTGTGGATAATTTGTGTGGTTTGTAAGTTGTAATGATCGGGTTGTTGTTTATTTTTTTCAATGACATGAGAAGGTCTTAACTCTCAAGCGTCTGGTAGGTGGTTAAAGTGCATATAGGAATAACCTGTAAAGTGGTCAATGAATCATTTAGATTCAGAAGCAAATCGTTTTATGACCTTGTTCCTTGACAAAATGAAGTGTCGATAGTTGAAAAAGGGCATGAGCAATTTACTAACCTTGACAAATTTACATTTTTATTTAGCATTTAAATCTATTCTATGTATAGCTTTTCTCATTCACTCCGATTGGAAATTTCAGGTGAACTATGAAGCCAATGGATGGGTTGCTCATCAAGTGTCTGACATATGGGCAAAAACATCACCAGATCGAGGTGAAGCTGTGTGGGCGTTATGGCCAGTAGGAGGGGCCTGGCTCTGTACCCATCTATGGGAACATTTTACTTACACAATGGACAAAGTAACCTCTTGCTGCTCTTCTCTCTCATCCTTTCACCCCTTTATTTCATAGCTGACGCCTTGTTTAAGCTCATTATTGTTCTGATTTCAGTGGCTAGTGTATAAAAATCTGTGTGTAGTTTACTTTTTCCTAATCCAAAATTTATGGTAGGTGAATGATTGCTAATATTTTCCACGTAATTAGGATTTTCTAAAAAATAAGGCATATCCTTTGCTGGAAGGATGTGCGTCATTTCTGTTGGATTGGTTGATTGAAGGCCACGGAGGATATCTGCAAACCAACCCATCAACTTCTCCAGAACACATGTTTGTTTCCCCAGAGGGCAAGCCTGCCAGTGTGAGCTACTCAGCAACCATGGACATTTCAATCATAAAAGAAGTTTTCTCCGAAATTGTTTCGGCTGCTGAGGTTCAACTCTTGTTCTTATATTATGAGCATTTACCTCTTGTCTTGTGAAAGCTTTGTACTTTTCGATGACAGTGAATTCTCATAAACAGATTTTGGGGAGAAGTCAGGATGCTCTTGTTGCAAAAGTCCGGGAAGCTCAATTGAAACTTCCACCAACAAAGATTGCTAGAGATGGTTCCATTATGGAATGGGTAAGGCAGTATTTTTTATTTCCATATCTTAGAACCTTGTGAAAGTGAAGTCAATCTACGTCGAGGAGCTGTTGATTACGTGTGGACTTAGATATCCTCTCCCCCTTTATGGCAGGCACAAGATTTTGAGGATCCAGATCCGCATCATCGACATGTATCACATCTTTTTGGCTTGTTTCCAGGGCACACAATTACTCTCGAGAAAACTCCAGACCTCTGTAAAGCTGCAGATTATACCCTTTTCAAAAGAGGTTTGTGTATAACCGCCCATATATAAATATTTCTCTTCAAGAAGGCTATTTGTACTTTGGTGTTCTTGATCTTACTCGGGATATGCTAACGAGTTTTGATGACCATCTGTGTCTTTTGCATCTTTTAAACAGGAGAGGAAGGCCCGGGATGGTCAACCACATGGAAAGCTGCACTCTGGGCTCGTCTTCACAACAGTGAGCATGCATATCGTATGATCAAGCATCTAATCAACTTGGTGGATCCAGATCATGAGAGTGATTATGAGGGAGGACTATATAGTAACTTGTTTACAGCTCACCCTCCATTCCAGATAGATGCCAACTTTGGGTAAGCCAAATTCTTTGCGGGTATTATCTTTTGCCCATGATCAACTTCACACCGAATCGAGTTTCATCATCTTACAAAATGAACGTTAAAAGTATTCCATTTCAGATAGATGCCAACTTTGGGTAAGCCAAATTTTTTGCGGGTATTATCTTTTGCCCATGATCAACTTCACACTGAATCGAGTTTCATCATCTTACAAAATGAACGTTAAAAGTATTCCATTCCAGATAGATGCCAACTTTGGGTAAGCCAAATTCTTTGCGGGTATTATCTTTTGCCCGTGATCAACTTCACACCGAATCGAGTTTCATCATCTTACAAAATGAACATTAAAAGTATTCCATTCCAGATAGATGCCCACTTTGGGTAAGCCAAATTCTTTGCGGGTATTATCTTTTGCCCGTGATCAACTTCACACTGACTCGAGTTCATCATCTTACAAAATGAACGTTAAAAGTATTCCATTCCAGATAGATGCCAACTTTGGGTAAGCCAAATTCTTTGCGGGTATTATCTTTTGCCCATGATCAACTTCACACCGAATCGAGTTTCATCATCTTACAAAATGAACGTTAAAAGTATTCCATTCCAGATAGATGCCCACTTTGGGTAAGCCAAATTCTTTGCGGGTATTATCTTTTGCCCGTGATCAACTTCACACCGAATCGAGTTTCATCATCTTACAAAATGAACGTTAAAAGTATTCCACTCAAAACACGAGCCTGAAAGCCTAGACATGAAGAATAGAAATAACACAAGTAGCATTAGTGATTATTGATTATGTATTCATCATGTCTTTGTTGGCAGATTTTCAGCAGCTATTGCAGAAATGCTTGTCCAGAGTACCACCAAGGACCTCGTTTTACTCCCTGCTTTGCCACACGATAAATGGCCAAATGGTTGTGTAAAAGGACTTAAGGCACGTGGCGGGGTAACGGTGAACATCTGCTGGAAGGAGGGAGATCTTCACGAAGTTGGTCTTTGGTTGAAGGATCATAATTCTATTAAAAGATTACACTATAGAGGATCTACAATTACGGCAAACATTTTATCTGGCAGAGTTTACACCTTCAATAGAAGTCTAAAATGCGTCCACACTTGCTCTCTTTAAGAAGCAGCCTTTTGCTTTTTTGCACACTGAGGTCATACTTGAGAATCATTCATTTGGTACCTTCCTGATAAATCTTTTGAACATATTCGTTATTGTACTCTTTTGGAGTTTGTTTGTTTTGATTGCTAGACAATCATTCGAGGCATTTCATGTATTATCGTCTCCAGTGCATGTTCAACAGGAATAATGAGCACGAGTTTTTGAGTTTTCACTGGTAGTGAGCATTTTTTGTGGTGCATTGGTTTATTTCAATTTGTGGGAAATTAACATAAACCATGGTAGATTACACGTCTTTGGCATTGCCCTTTTTGGAATTATAAAGGTTTTAATTTTGTAAAGTGATAAACGACATGATGGTGTTTCAACCCATAAACTACGGAGTCAAATGATCTGTTTAATTTTGGTGTCTAAAATTGTGTCTAATCAATTAGATTGTGTCAAATCATTTAAAAAAAAATATCTTGTAAGCGAACTTTTCCTTACTTTCATATTTAAATTTATTAAATGATGTGTCATAATTTAATGAGTCAGAATCTAATTGAGACAAAAAAAATTAGACAGGTGATTTGAGTCCATAAAATATAGCAGACCTGTAATTATTAATGTAGAAAATCAATCTAGGCTTAATTGTATCCCTGATGTTTAGGAAGTTAGTTTCCTGATTTTGTGTTTGTAGATATATCCGAATATTTGTATTTACTAGAGGAGATTCTATAGATCCTGATTTATAGAGAATTAGGTTTAATCTTTGTATATATAAGTGTAACCTATTACGTGAAGAGCAATAAGAAGTTATCTTTTCACACAATTCAGAAAACTTCATGGTATCAGAGCCCTAGGTTCAGAAAACCCTACTCTGAAATTTTACTCTGTCGTCCTCTCTATCTTTCCCCTATTCTCTCCTCGTATGTCCTCATGGCGGAAAACGAGCAGACATCCCGGGACTCATCTGCATCCGATCCCAATATCTCCTCTCATCAAACAGCTAATCCCTCTCTCAATATTCCAATTGCTCCTCACCTTACTCCGGCCTTAGAAAACAGTCTCACCCCAATCACCACCCACAAACTCAATGGCCACAACTATCTCCAGTGGTCACAATCAATGATGATGTTCATTAGTGCACGGAGCAAGGATGAATACCTCATTGGCACTATTCCAGAACCAGATCCGAGCAGTGCAGAATATAGAATCTGGAGAGCGAAAAATAATCTTGTAATGTCTTGGTTAATTAGTTCCATGACAACCGATATAGGAGAAAATTTCCTGCTATACACCACTGCCAGAGAAATCTGGGAGGCAGTACGTGAAACATTCTCTAGCAGTGAGAACACGGCTGAGCTCTTCTACGTGGAAAGTACTCTTCAGGACCTCCGTCAAGGTGAAAATTCCGTGACAATCTACTTTACAACTCTTATTCACTATTGGCAGCAGTTAGACCTGTTTGAAACCCACAATTGGAAGTGCTATGATGATTGTGCATACTTCAAAAAGATAGTGGAGACTAAGCGAGTCTTTAAATTCTTAATGGGACTCGACAAATCTCTTGATGAAGTAAGGGGTAGAATTCTTGGAACAAAACCCCTGCCAAGTCTGCGAGAGGCTTTTTCCGAGGTGCGAAGGGAAGAAAGTCGCAAGCGGGTCATGATGGGATAATCCATTCTTGCCGCTCCTGAAGCCCCAAGTCTTGCAGCAATCAAAGACACTCAGGCTGACTCAAGTGCCCTTGCTGCCCACAGCCACTCACGCAATGCCAATGACAATCGAACGAGGAAAGGCCGGCCCTGGTGTGATCATTGTCGAAAGCCCGGCCATCTCAAGGAAACCTGCTGGCAAATATATGGGAAACCTTCTGACTGGAAACCTAACCGAGACCATGAAGCAAAAGGGAATGCAGCCTTCAGTGATGCATCACAATTCAGCAACTCCGTCCCTTTCTCAAAGGAACAAATCGATGTGCTCCAACAACTTATACAGAGGGCAAATATCAACAACACTCCTGGAAACAGTGGGAACAACTCCAGCACCGCAGCTATGCATGCTACAACATCTCCTCATTCCTCGTGGGTTGTGGACTCGGGTGCATCCGAGCACATGACAGGTGACAGATCACTTTTCTCAACATTTTCACCTTGTAATAGTCCTCAAACAGTGCGTATAGCCAATGGTACACGCACCAAAGTGGTCGAAACAGGAACCATCTATCTCTCAAACACTCTCATTCTCAAATCTGTGTTATTTGTGCCTGACCTTAACTGCAGTCTTGTCTCGGTTAGCAGATTAAATCGTGACCTTAACTGCGAAACTAAATTTCTGGCTAATTCTTGTGTTTTTCAGGACTTGAGCACAGGGAAGATGATTGGCAGTGCTGATTTCCGTGCAGGCCTCTATATTCTGGATGTCAGCCCTTCTTCAAGTCATTTTGTTGGTCATTAGTGTCAGTTAATTCATAGTCTTAAGTCTAGCAGTCAATCTAATAAGGAAAGTGAAATCATGATATGGCACTTTCGTCTAGGTCATCCCAATTTTCTGTACTTAAAAATTTGTTTCCTTCTTTATTTATCAATAAAAATCCAAATTTCTTTCATTGTGAAGTATGTCAATTGGCAAAACACACTCAAAACACGTATGCATCTCGGCAATATCAACCTAGCCATCCTTTTACTCTCATTCATGGGGATATCTGGGGGCCATTCCGTATTCCTAGTCTTACCGGTGCAAGATGGTTTTTATTGTTGGTTGATGATCATACTAGATTGTGTTGGACATTCATAATGAAAGAGAAATCAGAAACCAAACACATATTCCAAACCTTCCATGTCATGGTTCAAAACCAATTCAAAGCCAACATCCAAATCATAAAAACAAATAATGCCACGGATTTCTTCAATTCGTGTCTCGGCTCTTACCTTACCTCTCATGGTATTGTTCAACAAAGCTCTTGTGTCGACACACCGCAACAAAACGGTGTTGCCGAACGAAAAAACTGTCATATTCTTGAGGTGACCCGATCTCTACTTTTCCAAGCTCATGCTCCTAAAAGATTCTGGGGTGAGGCAATTCTTACTGCCACCTATTTGATTAACCGTCTACCTTCTAGGGTTCTCAAATTTCGTACACCTTTGCAAATAATACAAAATCTATTTCCTGCCTCACGACTTGTATGAAATGTCCCGTTTAAACTTTTTGGCTGCACCGCCTTTGTCCATATTCACTTTCAATACCGGAGAAAATTTGATGCCCGTGCACTTAAGTGTATTTTCCTTGGTTATTCAGCCAACAAAAAGGGGTATAAGTGTTACTCTCCCATCACTCGTAAAATGTACAATACTATGGATGTCACATTCTTCAAAAATACTCCATACTACTCCAATACTGCAATTCAGGGGGAGAATAGCATCAGTGAATCGTAACATTGGGAGTGGACATCACTTCTCGAGCCAAACTATCACTCTCTCCAAATTCATCACTCTCGCTGTTCCCTACTCTGTCCTACAATACACCTATCCCGAGTCCAACTCAAACCTCTTGTGATCAGCCATCCTCACCTAATTCTGAGCATGATCAACCTGTTGGGAATAGTGTCCTAGAAGCATGAGATGTAAAAGGATATTTATTATTTATTTAATAAAAGAGTTTATTCATCATTTTATGTGCATATATTTATGAATATTTTATGAATATCAAATAAAATTCCTTGATTATTTATGAACCTTAAACATGGTATATAAGTGTTGTATACGAGAGGATAATGTTTAAGGATAATAATCAAAAGTAATTGTTCATAATGAATTTAATTAAAGTTCGGAATCTTTAATTAAAACATTATTAATACATGTCATTCCCATTTAGAATGGAACGGTGTTATCCGCACTGTTAATATGGCGAGATATTGAATGAGTGTATTTCGCATAATAAGATTATGT